CAGGGGATGGTGGAGAGTGTAGTCCAGCAGCAACAGAAGGCTCAAAATTTGAGTGGAAAAACCCGATGCCTTGTTGGCTTTTAAAATACCATTGGAAACGAGGAAGAGGGCAGGTTTGCCCTCTTCAAAGATGGCGCCGGCGGGCCCCGGGGGAAGGCCGCGGGTCGCGCTCTCCAAGACGTCATCGCTGCTCGCCCGCGCTGGTCCCCGCACAATAGAGGCGGCTTTCCTTCGGCGGCGCCAGGCGGACCCGCCGAAAGGGGAGGGGAGAGGAGGTAAGGCCGGGGCCGGGGCCCGATCGAGGCGGGGCCGGTGGGAGCGAAAGGCCCGCCTGGGAGGGATGGGAAGCCGCAGCAGGCCTTGGGGGGGGGGGTGGGGGGGCGTCTGCCCGGCTCCTCCAGGCCTAAATGGGCATTGCAAGTCCATTCAATGCAAGTCTCAATGCAGTGCGATGCAATCAGTGCCTAGATTTGTATGTGCTTGGTTTTTATTGACTCCTAGGCCTGGAGGGGATCCTGGAGGTCTTCTAGACCGACCCCTTGCTCAGTGCAATTCCATGCAGTTCATGGAGTTATATGCCTGAATTTTATAGAATCTTAGGGCTGGAAGGGATCCTGGAGGTCTGCTAGTCTGACCCCTTGCTCAGTGCAATTCCATGCAGTAAATAGATTTTATGTGTTTGGTTTTTATAGAATCTTAGGGCTGGAAGGGATCCTGGAGGTCTGCTAGTCTGACCCCTTGCTCAGTGCAATTCCATGCACTTCATGGAGTTATATGCTTGGTTTTTATAGAATCTTAGGGCTGGAAGGGACCTTGGAGGTCTGCTAGTCTGACCCCTTGCTTAATGCAACTCCGTGCTGTACAATGCAGCGCAACCCGGCATGGACCACCACACAGCGAAGGAAAGGACACAGGTCTCTCCCACTCCACGTCTATCAGCCCCTTATCCCGCCCGTGCTTGCTTGCAAGTAAAGCCCACATGTGGATTTTCCCCCGATGGAACCTCCAAGTCTGGCAGCAGACTATCTGATTCTCCAGGAAGGATATCTTATGGCAAAAGGAATGCATTGAACATGGTAGACTTTTGTTGCTGTCTTCATCTCTTTATCTTAATTTACAGACTGTCCTTTGTGCAGATTGGATCCCAAATAGTTAATCCATTTTAAAGTTGTTGTTGTTTAATTCCTCCTGTCCGGGACTTTTTGTAAATCCACTTTTGGTCTTGCTCAGACTAAATACTCCAACCTTCTGTTTCTTATAGCAGCCAACTAATGACTTCTGAGAAGTGGCCTCTCTTTTAGAGTGGCCTCCTAGTTTTTCAAGGTAGAGCACCTCTACAGCTAGAGGTTCCATTGAGCCTAGTATGAATTGGATACGTGCTTTGAGGACGGTGTTAGGAGGAATTTTAGAATTCTTCTTAAAGATAAAGGAAGATCTTTTTTTTTTCCCCTTTGATAAGAAAATGACGTTGTTGGGCCTTGGCGATGAACTCCCCAACTCCCTCCGTGTGTTTGGAAGCGCCGTGAATAACTTTTAAGCCTGACTAGTTTGGCTCAGTGGCTAAGACGCTCAGCTTGTCGATCAAGAAAGTTCGGCAGTTCGAATCCCTAGTACGAGTCTCCTGCATGAGCAGGGGGTTGGACTAGATGACCTCCAAGGTCCCTTCCAACTCTGTTACTGTTACTTCCCTCCCAGTTATTTATTTATTTATTTATTATATTTCTATACCGCCTTTCTCCCGTAGGACTCAAGGCGGTGTACAGTCAAGAAAAATATAGACACACAAACATCATAAAATTGCTAATTAAAATTATTACTTAGTTTGGTCAATTAAATAAAATCCAGAATTAGATAACATTTAAAAAATCATTCACATGTCGTCGTCGTCCCCCCCCCCCATCAAACAAGGGAAGTGTGCGCTAACAGTACCTGTAATGAAATTTCATCCGCCTGGCTCAAATAACCGGGCAATTTAGACCAAGCGCAGAAGGTGTTCTCAGTTGGCCGTGTTAGACGAGTGCAATGAACCGGAGCGGGGAGGTTTTCTGAGTGTGTTTCTCTAGGGACCGGTGTGTTTGTGCACGCATGTGTGCGAGGCCGGAGAATGAGAGGGAAAAAGGAACGGGCAGGCTCGCTCGTACAGGTGCGTCTTGCCAATGGACTCGTGAAAGTCAAGTTTTGCCAAAAAAGATAGTCCTCGACTTAACGACCGCAATTGAACTGTTGCTAAGTAAGACAGTTGTTAAGTGAGACGGTTGTTAAGTGAGATGGTTGTTAAGTGAGTTTTGGGGGGCCCCTTTTGCAACCTTTCACGCCACCGTGGTTCAGGGAATCGCTGCCGTCGTTAAGTTAGGAACTTAGGTTGCTAAGTGAATCCGGCTTTCCCCCCTTGACTTTGCTTGTCACAAAAGGGAAACGTGTTATCCCGGGGACGCTGCGACCGTCGTAAATATGAGCCAGTGGCCACGCATCTGAATTTGGTCCCATGATCATGGGGGGGGTGTGTGGATGCTGCGGTGGTCGTAAGTGTGGAGAAACGGCCATCAGTCACTCTTGTCAGCGCCGTTGTAACTTGGAACGGCCACTAAACGGATTGTTGTAAATCAAGGACTACCTGTACAGTAGATCCGGTTAGCGGTTGAGGCACCAAGCCAATCCCAGTCTAATTTAAGGCAGGATTAGAACTCACAGTCGCCTAGTTTTTAGCCTGACGTCTTAACCAAAAAACTTAAGTTTTTGACTTAACCTCGTCAATCTCCCCGCCCGCCCCCCCTCTCTCTTTTTGAATTGCCTAGCTCTGTCTTCCTCTTTCCTCTGCAACAACAACCTTGCAAGGTAGCTTGGGCTGAGCGTGATTCGCCCAAAGACCCCTCCCCATTAAAAAAACATCGTAGGGAAAAGAATTGTGTTAATTTAACGGCAGCGAAAGATGGCGAGCCTATCGGAAGCCTCCCGCTCGAACCGGGCTGGGGGGGGTTGGACTAGAGGACCTCCAAGGGTCCCTCCCGCCGTCCGTGAATCTTTCCCGAGAACAGGTTTCTCACAAAGCTGCTGCCTCTTTGATAAAATTCGTGAGACAAGAAAGTAGCTACTACTATAAATTCTGGCAGTTTTTCCATGGCTGAGGGTGGACTTATTAACCCTTGGATTTTCTGTCCAGGTGAGTTTATAAAACCTGGACACTCACCTGTACAGGTAGGAAGGCCGGTGGATGCTCTTGAGGGTAGCCTTATTAACCGTGGGTTTTCTGTACAGATGAGTGTATAAAACCCAACAGTATAACACTCACCTGTACAGGTATGAAGGCCGGTGGATGCCCTTAAGTGAGGTTGTCGGGTTTAGTTGTGGCTTACGCAAGTCCCCGGCCATCAGTGAGGTCTTTGGTTATCTTCCACGCCTCTCGGTTTGCACCTGGACAGGTGAGCCTGTTATTTAAACTTGTTAACCAATACCGGGGAAAGAAAGTTTATGCTCTTCTGTTTACAGCTGTCCGTCATGCGTTGTGATAATATCTCCGGATCAATTCAGGCTCCTTGGCGCCCCGGAGGCTGCGATCTTGAGATCACAGTCTGTGTTAAGAGGGTATTGTGAGGAGGGGGGTTATATCAGGACCCTGAATGTCGGGTAGGATATTCTGAATTTTAGAACGGCCGAATCCAAGAAAGGGATTCCGTTTTTACTTTTTAATCCTAAATCCAAGAACGTCGTTTCATTTTCTTTTAAACCTAAATCCAAGAATTTTTATTTATTTATTTACTTAATTAAACTTATATACCGCCCTTCTCCCCAGGGGGACTCAGGGCGATGGACAGCCAGAAATTAAAACACATTATAGTACAAAAGTTAAGAAAAAACTAAAATAGATTAAATAAGCGGCATTACCAATTTAAAATCCCAAATCTACAAAATCAAAAAATTCCCAATTTAAAACCCAAAAAACCAATAAAATTAAAAGATTAAAGATTAATCTTTAAAAATCCCCATTAAAAATGCCGTTGGAATCTTTTTTTTCCCCCTAAATTCAAGAATTTAATTTTTTTATCCTAAAGCCAAGTTTTTAAATCCTAAAGCCAAGATTGTGATTTAATTTTTTTTTAATCCTCCATCCCAAATTTAAGAATTTAATCTTTTTTAATCCGAAATCCAAGAATAGAATTTTTAAGTTTTTAAATCCTATATCCAAGAATGTAATTTTAATTTTTTTAAAAATCCTAAACTCGTGTAGTCCTCAACTTACGACCACAATTTAGCCTCCAAATTTCTGTTGTTAGGCGAAACATTTGTTAAGTGAGCGTTGCCCCATGTTATGACAACCGACTCTCATTTATGACGGGTTATCAGTCAGTGTCCGGGGGGAGGGTCACGTGATTTCCTGAATTTCTCTGAACAGCCGCGGCAAGAAACGTAGAACGGGGAAGATTCACTTAACTGTCTCACTGAGCAACGGAAATCTTGGGCTCGACGGTTGGTCGTAAGTTGAAGACCATCTGTGCTCAGCGTGCAAAATTAAGGGGTTTTCCCAGGCCTGAAAGGAGTGTGTTTTATGTGTGTATTTGTGTGTCAGTGTGTCTTTTTGCCTTTTCTTGCACTGGCGCCTCCGCAAATCCTGTAACTCGTGTCATTTTTTTCAGTGCCCCCAAACAGCAGCCGTTAAACGAGCCGTAATTCGAACAAGCCGTTAAATGGGGTCACAAACCGAGGACTGCCTTCCCTCCCGTTTCCGCGCGATCCCCTAATTTTTTTTTATTTATTTTTTTGCAAAACTAAGCAATCTGCTCTTCTTCCTTCCAATCTTTTCCCAAGTTCTTTTCTGCCTAAAGTTTTTTCTCTCTCGCCCATCCCCAAAGCTGTTGGCAGGCTTAAAATAATAATAATAATAAAGTCCTTTTTTTTTTTTAAAGACAGAGGGCCGAGAGAGGAAGGCACCTGGCCCCTATACCCCTGCCCACGAGGAGAAGATTATGATGAAAGGGAATTGAAATTTCAATTTTTTTTTTTAAAAAAAGGATGTACTTTCTGTTTTCTGGCCGCAAACCCCACCCCTCTGCAGGGGAAAAAGCCAGAAGGAGGAGAATAGAAAGCGAAACTTAATTTTGTTTTTTTCCTCTTCTGAGCCAGGTTAAATAGGGGAGGCAGCTTCTTCGATCCTTCGATTCTCCCTTGGCAAGGCTGCCCCTTTGCTGGGAACCTCCTCCTCCTCCTCCTCCTCCTGTGCCTGGCTTCGGTTTGAGTGTGTGTTTGTGTGTGTGTGTGTAAAACGCATGTACATATCAGTCTCTTCTTCTCTGCTGCTGTGGGAACAGAAAGTTTCTCTTCCAGCCTTGGGCCAGTGTGATGCCATGCACATACCTCGTCATGGGAAAAAGCAAAGTGGTAAGCTTTTATTCAACTTCTATTGGGCCAGTAACTCTACCTCTTTTTCGTCTTTCCCAGAGGAGGGGTGGGGGAAAATAGGGTTTTTCTAACCCTATTATCAAAGTGCAAAGAGATCAGGCTAGCTGGAATAATCCACTCTGCCGTAATCGCGGTAAGTATTCACAACTCGGGGTGGGTCACTTCGCTTTGGGGGTTTGCAAGGAGTGGGAAAGCTCAGGTTACCATCCAGAGAGGACGATAGCAACCCTCATGTCCATTGACTCTAGGCGTAAACGTAGCATTTCAGCCGGAATTGCATGACGATAAGCCAAGGAGAATTCGTTCCTCGGTTGCTAAACTTTTTTAAACGGCTCCTTTTGAGACTAAAGGAATGTAGGCGTGAAACGCTCTTTCTGGGCAGTGTGCTGAGCTGGAAAAATTAAGGAAGGGGTTTGGTTAGAAATAGAGAACCAACTGGATCTGTTGTGCGTGGGAATACCTCCGTTTCGGGGTCCTAATAATTGAAGCACGAGAGGAATCTTTTTGTGGGTTTGCCGGGATTTAATGCTGGTGCCTAGCGTTTGAAATCCCCCACGCAAGGGGGTCCGTTTATATATATATAGAGAGAGAGAGAGAGAGAAAGAGAGATAGATGATTGATAGATGAGAGAGAGAGAGGGATAATAGAGATACATAAAAGATGATAGATAGATTAGATTAGATAGATTAGATGGATAATAGAGAGAGATATAGATAGATGATAGAGAAAGAGATGATAGATAGATAGATAGATAGGTAGATAGGTAGATAGGTAGATAATAGAGAAAGATATATATATAGAGAGAGATGGTAGATATAGATATGATAGATGGAGAGAGATGATAGATAGATAGATAGATAGATAGATAGATAGATAGATAGATAGAGGGATAGATAGATAGATAGATGGATAGATGATAGATAGATATGATAGATGGATAATAGAGAAAGATAAATATATATAGAGAGAGATAGGTAGATAGACATAGATATGATAGATGGAGAGAGAGAGATGATAGAGAGAGAAATTAGATGGATAATAGCAATAAAAGATATAGATGGAGAGATAGGTAGGTAGGTAGATGGATGGATGGATAGATAGATAGATAGATAGATAGATAGATAGATAGATAGATAGATAGATAGATAGATAGATAGATAAAAGATTTTCCGAGTCTGCAGCTGTGTGTAAACTTCTGTTTTTGATTTCCGGAATTTTACATTGCGATTCGATTTTTTACACTGCTGTACACTTGGCATGGGTTTGCAATGCATTCATGCACACACACACACACACACACTCACACTTACCTTTAAGGGACCTCTGATGGTTTCGATTAAAGAAGGGAGGGAGGTACGGTTGAGAATTGCAAAGGGACGTGAGAGAGGGGGATGAACAATGATTTGCTCCCCTTGAATGAATAGGCATTTAAAAGCTGTTAGGATCGTTCCATGAAAATAACCCTCCTCGATGCATTTGTAAAATAGTTTTTTTTTTGGGGGGGGAGGCATTTTTTTGGCAGCTATGTCTAATTTTACAGGAGTTGAGGGAGAAAAGACGGCTATGATCGTAGGCTGAGGTTTTTTGATGATGAAGCCAAGTGTTTTCCATTTGGTTTAAAATGGTGTCCCATTCTCCCTGTACAGATTATTACTCTCTGCGAACGAAACTTTTTGTGGCAGAGTCCACAAACGGTGGTTTATTAGCAAGGCATAGGACGGCTAAGACGCTGAGCTTGTCGATCGAAAGGTCGGCAGTTCAGCGGTTCGAATCCCGAGTGCCACGTAATGGGGTGAGCTCCCGTGACTTGTTCCAGCTTCTGCCAACCTAGCAGTTCGAAAGCAAGTCAAAAAAAATGCAAGTAGAAAAATAGGGGCCACCTTTGGTGGGAAGGGAACAGCGTTTTCCGTGCGCCTTTGGCGTTGAGTCATGCCGGCCACAGGACCACGGAGACGTCTTCGGACAGCGCTGGCTCTTCGGCTTTGAAACGGAGATGAGCACCGCCCTGTAGAGTCGGGAACAACTAGCACATATGTGCGAGGGGAACCTTTACCTTTACCTTTAGGGCAGTCTACCAGAGACCTATTAAAAGGTCTTTAATTCTCTGTACAAAGACCCCGAGCAGTTAGATCGGATCAACCTTCCGTTCGGTCTGGCACAACGTGCAAGCTGGAACGCCAGTTTGAGCCATAAGCTCAATTCCCCCCCCCCCCCCCCGAAAAAAAAATTGCTTCCAGGTGAGCAAACATCAGCCTATTCCCCTTCGGGAGCAAAACTATTGTTTCTCTGTTCATCCCTAACTATTGCCAAAAGAAAAGGGCATCTGATGCTAAAAATCCAGCTAGAAAACAATTCTCAGGTCCTTAAAAAAATTTTTTTTAAAATCACAAATATTTGCAGGGCACGATGAAGGAAAGATTTGGGAAGCCCAAATCCAGCAAAGTTTAATTTTTTAAAATTAAGGGAGCAAAACCGACTGTGTTTGGGGACGGCTTACCAATCCCTGGTACTGGTAGGCGTTCATAAAATAAGCTTCTCTTTGGTCCTGGAAAGCGGGCACTGACCCAGCTTGGCACTAAACCAGGTTGCTTGAGGTCTGGAAGATTGAGAAGCCAATGGAGCGCTGGCTGGGTGGATTATGCGCCATCAAGTCATCGTCGAACCCTCGAGAGGGCTTTTCTCCACAAAGCCCATGTGTTCTGACCCAGCTCCCCAAACACGACAAACCCTCTGACGTGAACTCGAAAGATTCCTTTATTAGGAGCGCCAGCAGCCCGGGCAAAAAGTTTCTCTCGCAGGCTAACAAGTCCGTCCATCCGGAAGATGAGTAATTGCCTGCCACACTTATTCATCTCCGCCCCGTGCCTTTTGTCCCCAGAGCTAGGGTGGGGCCTCGCTAGCAGCGGTGGCTCTTCCGTCCCAAGGACCGGCCCATAGATTTCCACTGCTCTCCTCTCCTCTGCCTTCTATCAGGCACTGGACCCAGCTGTTCCTCCTCCTCCTCATCAGCCACCTCCAGACCTGGCGGCTGTTGACTCTCCATCTGAGGGCTGACGGACGCCTCTCTCTCTCTGCCAGCTCCACTCCCTCTTCCCCCTCGGAGCTCTCAGGTTGCCCTGATGCTGATCCACGCCTCCTCCTCCTCCTCCTCTGATTCGGCCGGGGCAGCCAACAGGCCACAGCACAACGGGGGCAACCACAGGGGAGCCAGGAAGGTCCTCTCTACCTGCAACTCGGTTTGAAATGTGCCTCCTTGTGTCTTTGCCAGGTTCTTCGACGTCGGCTGAAAATGTCTTCACCCCTCCGCTTCTTCCCCACCATCGTGCTATGAGCAGATTCCCTGCTGCTTCAGACCAGACCTTGCCCAGATCCGACAGACTCGAAGATTTTCATCAGAAGCAGGTCCTCTTCCTGCAAGGAAAACGTTCCGAGGCTTCGCTGTGGAAGCCCGGTGTGCAGAGGTCCCAAGAGCCGCAGACGTTCTTCCCGCCGCCCCGTTCGAATTCATGGTACAACTACAGGGAGACCCCCAGAAGACCTCCCTGTAAGGGTAGCTGGCCGGCACCGAAGCAGCCGTTTCCTCCTCAACCAAGTTACTTTGCGGTTACTTATCCGAAGGGTGCCGCCGACCGACTCGTCTCCAGCTTCCAGGGGCTGACTCTGAGCAAGCAGGACGTTGAAGGGGATCTCCTGGGGATCCTGAGGGATCTGAAATCGGGGCAGACCATCTCCGCTCGCCACCTGGCCCAGCAGCTGCGCGTCCAGAAGAAAGTGGTCAACCATTATCTCTACAAGCTTCACCAACGAGGGCAGCTGAGTCGGACGGAGACCACCCCGCCATTGTGGAGGTTAGCCGACGGTCGCGACTTCGCCGAAGCAAGCCAAGCGGGACGTCCGGCCATCCGGGACAAAGACAGCGGTTCCCTCTTCGACTTGGGGATCGAAGAAGAAGTAGAAGGAAGTTCCGCTTCTGACCGGGAGGACTCGTTTGGTTCTCCTGACATGGCCGAAGTCAAGGAGAAGATCTGCAGCTTCCTGTTCGGGGTGGTGGACTCCACAGCTTACAACCTGGCCAAGAACATCGGCTTGAGCAAAGCCAGGGATGTCAACGCCACCCTCCTGGCCTTGGAGAAGCTGGGCGAGGTGCACAAGGAGAACGTCAACCCTCCCAAGTGGTCGCTGACGGACAACAAGCGGAAACGGATGCAAGTCAAGGCCAAAGCCGAAGAAGTCCGGCAGGCGGTCCCGCCGGACCCCGAACCCCCAGCCCCGTGCCTCGAACCGGAGGCAACCCCTGCCGACGTGCCCTCCCCTCGCCCTTCTCCCCCTCCGCCTCCCCCTCCGCCGGAGAACGAGGAGAAGAAAATCGAGAACGGGCAGCAGGCCGCCGAGCCGATCGAGCCCAGCTGCCCTCCGTGGGCGAGTCCCGCTTGCAAGCGCCCCCGCTACCGCCACTTCTCGCCTTACAACTTCTTCGAGAGCAGCAGCTGGGCCACCGACGATATCCCCGAGGACATGAACGCCATCAGCAACCAGGACGAGTCGAGGTACATTATGGGGTCCCCTCTGTACCCCAAATACCCGGCTCAGCTGGACACCGCTTTCCAGTGCACCCCCTTGGAGAAGCTCATGGACTGCCAGAAGAAAAACCCCGTCAGCGGCTTGATCGAATACACCCAGTACATGTACCAGCACTGCGAGTTCGTCTTGCTGAAGCAGAGCGGGCCGTCGCACGAGCCACGGTAAGGGACCTCCTGGAGTTGGGGCGGGGGGGGGGCAAGCGATTGGAAGGTGGGGGGGAGTCCTGCAGGTTGAGTGGAGATTCTCAGTCATCCAGGTTTTCCGCAAAGGTGCTTTTTTTCCCCCCCAAAAAAAGGCAATTTATGTATGTATGTATGTATGTATGTATTGATTGATTGATTGATTGATTGATTGATTGATTGATTGATTGATTCGATTTATATGCCGCCCTTTCTCCGGAGACTCAGGGCGGCTTACAATGCATTAAGCAACAGCCTTCATACTTTTGTATATACCTGCTTAGTAGGGCTTTCGGGCCCCCACCCCCAAGCAGTGTTCTTTTTTTATACAAAGTCAGCTTATTGCCCCCATAATCTGGGTCCTCATTTTACCTACCTCGGAAGGATGGAAGGCTGAGTCAACCTTGAGCCTGGTGAGATTCGAACCTGCAGTAATTGCAGGCAGCTGGAGTTACTTAACAGTACTTTAGTCCGCTGCACCACCAAGGCTCCAATTGGGCTTTGCTTTCTTGGAAAACAGAATAACAGACCTGGAAGGGGCCCCTTGGAGGTCTTCTAGTCCAACCCCCCGGGGGGCTGCTTGCTTCCCTGATAGCAAAAAGCTTGCGTGAAATTTCCTCCAAAATCTGGGCGTTCTAATCTAAGCTTCCCCCCGCCCCCGATAAGTGTGGGTCACGGCGGGTGGGGCGTGTGTTCCTTAACCACGCTGGGGAATTTGTGCTGGAAATAAAAGGAGGAGGGGTCTCCCCAGTCATTACCCCCCCCACCCCTGGGTTCATGTTAAATGTGTATGAAATGTGGTAGCCTGTCTCTAAAAACAGAATTCTCCTTAATTTTTCTTATTTCTCTCATTCTGTCTCTTTTGCAATTGTTCTCTCGTTTTTTTTCTCCCTCTTTCATTCTCTTTATCTCGTTCTTTTTTCCTCTCGTTCTCTTTCATTCTTGTTCTTTCTGCCTTTCTCTTAATGTCTCTCATTTTCTTTCCCATTCTCTTGGTCTCGTATTTTCTCTCTTTCTCATTCTTTCTTTCTCTAATTCTTTTTTTCTGTCATTCTCTCATTCTTGCTCTTTCTGTGTCTTTCTCTTAATATCTCTCATTTTCTTTCTCATTCTCTTTGTCTCTTATTTTCCCTCTTTCATTCTCTTTATCTCATTCTTTTTCTTTCTCTCATTCTCTTTCATTCTTGTTCTTTCTGCCTTTCTCTTAATGTCTCTCATTTTCTTTCCCATTCTCATCTCTTATTTTCTCTCTCATTCTTTCTTTCTCTAATTCTTTTTTCTCTCATTCTCTCATTCTTGCTCTTTCTCTGTCTTTCCCTTAACATCTCTCATTTTCTTTCTCATTCTCTTATTTTCCCTCTTTCATTCTCTTTATCTCATTCTTTTTCTTCCTCTCATTCTCTTTCATTCTTGTTGTCTCTTTCTCTGTCTCTTTTTATCTCTCTTTTTTCATTCTCTTACTATCTCATTCTTTCTCATTCTCATTTTCTCCCTCTTTCTCTCTTTCTTCCCTTATTTTTCATTCTCATTCTCTTTCTATCTCTCATTTTCCTTCTCTTCCTTTCTCATTCTCTGCTCTTTCTCTTTCTCTCTCTGTCTTTCCCCCCCCCCCCTCTTCTCCCATCAAGGTTTAAATTCCAAGCCAAGATTGACACCCGCCACTTCCCTCCGGCCGAAGCAGGCAGCAAAAAACTAGCCAAGCAGGAAGCGGCGGCCATCGCCATGAAAATCCTTCTCCACGAAGCTCAGCACGAGGGGGAAGACAGCGTGGGGCCCGAGACTTCCCTGTACGAGGACACCTCCCTCAGGGAGGAGGAGATGGTGAGGAAGAGGAGGAGGATAGGCTGATGTTTTTATTGAATAATATTAAAAAAATATCGCTGAGAAATGTCAGCTGCTCCAAGTCCAGCTGCCTTTCGCAATTGACTGATGGGGATTTTGTCAATGCCAACGGCGTTCAAGGGATGCCTCGGATGTTTTAGAATTAACACCTAGGGCACCTATCACTCCCTGGTCCTACTTTTGCTTTCTTTTGCCACCATCCTTCTACTTCTATTTCCAGATCTTTGTCTTTTGGGATTATCTCCTGTTCCTTCTCTTCTCTCCTGCACATCCACCGTCCATATTTTTTATTTTATTATTGTTATGTCTCTTTTATTCATTAAACATGAAACTCAAGTCAACTGAGCATTCAAAAATGCGTCACAAATACCATTGACTGGTGCTGACGGTTGATACGATCAACCAGCGTCCCAGGGATCAACCAAGTACCTTCTTAAGATGTACGATGTTCCGAGTAGCGCAGTTTTTTGCAGTTCCGCTGGTGTCATTGCAGGAAGCTGCAATTTGTTGATGTATCTTATACATTATTTTTTTTTTAATTTGATTTATATGCCGCCCTTCTCCGGAGACTCAGGGCGGCTTACAATGTGCTCAGCAAATTCTTGGACATGGTACCAATTATTATTATTATTATTATTATTATTATTATTATTATTATTATTATTATTATTATTATTATTTACTTTAGTCATTAAACATGGGCCTGGTGGCTCAGCAGACTGATAGCATTGTGATTAACACCAGCTCTCTTGCAATTACTGTAAGTTCGAATCCCACCAGGCTCAAGGATGACTCAGCCTTCCATCCTTTCTAAGGTAGGTAAATTGAGGACCCGGTTTGTGGGGGCAATAAGCTGACTTTGTATAAATATACGAAAGTATGAAGGCTATTGCTTAATGCATTCTAAGCCGCCCTGAGTCTCCGGAGAAGGGCGGCATATAAATCAAATTTTAAAAAAACATGAAACTCAGTCAACTGAACATTCAAAAATGCATCACAAATGAAATGCATGACAAATACCATTTACTGGTGCTAATGGTTGATACGGGTTGCTGCCAGCGTCCTAGGTGGTATTATTATTATTATTATTATTATTATTATTATTATTATTATTATTATTATTATCTTCTCCGTCCTTGTTCTCCAGCCTGAGCAGGCAGACCCCGAGGCCTCGTCCACCGCCCCACAGCCCAACCTCCTCTGTGGGAAGAACCCCATCAGCGCCTTGATGGAATACGCCCAGAAGCTGGGGAGCGTGTGCGAATTCAAGCTGCTCTCTCAGGAAGGACCGCCTCATGACCCAAAGTAAGCTCAGAAAGGGGGGTTTGCTTTTACACCCAGTCCTCGACATAACGACCACAGCTGACCCCCAAATTCCTGTGAGTAAAGCGGGACAGTGGTTAAGGGAATTTTGCCCCGTTGCGCGACCGTTCTCGCCACGGATGTTAAGCGAATCACTGCAGTTAAGTTAGCAACACCCTCGACTTAACAAACAGTTCGTTTAGTGACTGTGGTCACGTGCGCAAAATTCAGACGCTTGGGCAACTGACTCACATTTATGACCGTTGCAGTGTCCGGCGGCCACATGGTCAAAATTCAGAGATGCCTGCCAATTGACTCCTATATATGAGAGTTGCAGTGTCCCCCCACCTCTCACCCGGGTCACGTGATCTCCTTTTCTGACAACCAAAGTCAATGGGGGAAGCCAGATTCGCTCAGTGACCGTGTGACTGATTTCACTTAACAACTGGGTAAGGAAGGTGGTAAAACGGGGCAAAACTTCACAAAAGTCTCACTTGGCCACAGAAATTTTGGCCTCAATTGTCCTTAGTCGAGGACTACCTGTATGTATTTTGGGTTTTTCGGTCCTTTTTAATTCACTTTTTAAAAAAAAAAAAACGTTCGTTTATACTTTTGTCTTCGTTTCATTCTTTTTTGTCTTTTCATCTTTTGAATGAAATCAAAAATCATGAATCTAAGTGAAAAATTAAGCACCCGTGCCTCAACACGGCTTCCTCTCGTCTCTAAATTGAATGAGGCCCCTTGTCTCATTCTCTCACAAAGTCCTTTATGCTGATATGTCTGAAGTTGAATCCGAATTAAAACACCGATCATTCCCAACGCAGTTCTAGGCTGCATCAACAGAGGGAGAGAATCAAGATCACGTGAAGTGTTAATACCACTTTATAAGGCCTTGGTAAGGCCACACTTGGAATATGGCACCCAGTTTTGGTCGCCACGATGTAAAAAAAGATGTGGAGACTCTAGAAAGAGTGCAGAGAAGAGCAACAAAGAGGATTAGGGGACTGGAGGCTAAAATATATAAAGAACCGTTGCTGGAATTGGGTATATCTAATTTAATGGAGAGAAGGACTAGGGGAGACATGATAGCAGTCTTCCAATATCTCAGGGGTTGCCACAAAGAAGAGGGAGTCAAGCTCTTCTCCAAAGCACCTGAGGGCAGGACAGGAAGCAACGGGTGGAAACTCATCAAGGGGAGAAGCAACTTAGAAGTAAGGAGAAATTTCCTGACAGTTAAGAACAATTAACCTTGCCTCCAGAAGTTGTAAATGCTCTAGCACTGGAAATTTTTAAAAAGAGGTTGGATAAAAAATTTGTCTGAAGTGGTGTAGGCTTTCCTGCCTAAGCAGGGGGTTGGACTAGAAGACCTCCAAGGTCCCTTCCAACTCGGTTATTCTATTCTATTCCATTCCATTCCTCCGGCATCTGCTCCGGTTTAGTTGCAAACCCAAATTCAATCTGGATTTATTCCTTCTCCGGGCTCCGTTCAGGTTTCAATACTGCGTCAAGGTGGGCGAGCGCGTTTTCCCCGCCGTGGTCTCGAACAGCAAGAAGGGAGCGAAGCAAATGGCCGCCGAGGTCGCCATGAAAGGGCTGACGGGCGAAACCACCGGCTCACCTGCGCAGGTAAGACCTTCCCTTTTTTTTTCCCCTCCTCGGCATGGCAAGCTTCCTCGGCCTGCTTCATTCGCAGCCCTGATTTCTCTGTTTCCTGGATCTCAGGTGGAAGCGCCGTCCGAGCCCATGCTGGACGTACAAGCTAGCCAGCTAGCCCATCCGGAGGAGTCCAAGACAGTCAGCGCCAAAGGCGTCGGCGAGTTGATCAAGTACCTGAATTCGAATCCGGTCAGCGGACTTCTGGAGTATGCCCGGGCCAACGGCTTCGCAGCTGAATTCAAGCTCATCAATCAGACCGGCCCTCCCCATGACCCCAAGTAAGTCGGGGGGCTGCGATTCATCCGGCTCGCCCCACAGGTTTGGGTCAACCCACTCAAGATTGGCATCTCTTTCTCTCTCTCGAAATCTGTTCCAGTCTGCGTCATCCCGGGCTAAATACAGGTAGTCCTCGAGTTATGACCACAGTTGAGCCCAAAATTTTCATTGCTAAACGAGGCCATTTGTTCAGCCTGGCCTAACTTTCTCCCTCTTTTTAAAACAATTTTAATTTTAACATTTTAATATTTTTAATCCTCAAAGTTTAAATTTGTTTTAAATCGATTGGGGTTTTAATCTGTCTGGGCCAAACTATTTAATTTGATTTTATTTCTGCTTTTTAAAATTTGTATGTATGTATTTTATTGTTCGCTGTTCACCGCCCTGAGTCTTTCGGGAGTAGGGCGGTATACAAATCAAATAAAAGTAAAAGTAAAGTGATTCCCTCCCGCCCCTTTTTATGACACTTCTTGCCGCCGTTGTTAAGCAAATCGCCGCCGTTGTTAAGTTAGTCACACGGTCGTTAAGCGAATCCGGCTTCCCCCGTCGACTTGGCTCATTGGAAGGTCGCAAACGGGGATCGCGTGAGCCCCCCCAACCCCTTCCGCCGGGACGCTGCGACCATCATAAATAGGAGTCCGTTGCCAAATGTCTGAATTTTGACCGCGATGGCCGTGTGAGAAAAGCGGTCCTAAGTCCCTTTTTTTTTTTGTAACTTCCAACAGTCGCTAAACAAACATTTGTAAGTCGAGGACTACCTGTCATTTTCCAGAGGGGGGGAGGGGCGCGGTATGTCAGCACCCTAGCCATCCGAGATGACTCCCGCCTGATTTCTGTCCCCGCAGGTTCGTCTTCCAGGCGAAAGTGGGTGGCCGCTGGTTCCCGTCCGTCACGGCGCACAGCAAAAAGCAGGGAAAGCAGGAAGCGGCCGACGCGGCGCTCCGTGTCCTCATCGGGGAGAACGAGAAGGCCGAGCACGTGGCCGAAGGGCTGGGCATCACGGAGGTCAGGTCTTCTCTCGCCTCTGTAGCGGCTTCCTGGCCGACCCAATTTCCCCACCTGCATTCTCCCATGCCCCAAGGAGATTTGCGACCCCACCCCACCCCAACCCCCACCCCACCCCGAAGCCTGGAAGTCCGTTGCTGACCTGTCCTCCCATCTCGTTGCAGCTACCGGTCAGCGGAAGCACTCTGCACGACCAGATCGCCATGCTAAGCCACCAGCGGTTCAACGCCTTGACCGCCCGCATCCAGCACAGCCTGCTGGGACGCAAGATCCTAGCCGCCATCATCATGAGGAGGGGGCAGGAGGGGCTGGGGGTCGTGGTCAGCATCGGGACAGGTAAAACGGGTTCATTTTTGGCCTGAAAAGAGGGGTGGGGGGAAAGACCTCAAATTTACAATTTTATTTATTTATTTATTTATTTAATTTGTATACCGCCCTTCTCCCAGAGGGGACTCAGGGCGGTGAACAGCCACAATTAAAAAACATACAAAGATTAAGATAATTAAAAAAGAATTAAATCATTCCAGCAGTTTCCTGGTTTTCTGCTGTTTTTCTTTTCTTTTTTTTCTTTTTTTCCCCCCTGTCTTGCGCTTTTAGCTTCGCCTTCCGTTTCTCTCCTCTTTTCCCCCCATCCTTTTCTTCCTTTATATTTGTTTTTTGGGGGGGGGGGTTTGCTTTTGCTTTTTGTATCTATAGTAAAACTGGTAGATCTATCAAACAGAGAGAGAGAGGGGAGGGGGGAGGAAGGGAAAAAGGAAGGATGGAAAAAAGGAAAGGAAAGTGGGAAGGAATAGAGATAGATACATGAGTAGATTGATAAATAGATGGAGGGAAGGAGGGAAAAAAGGGAGGAGAAGGAGGGAGGGAAGAGGTAGAGAAGGAAAGGAAGGAAGAGAAGGGGAGGGAGGGAAGGAAGGAATAGAGATAGATGGGTAGATAAAGGATGGAAGGGAAGGAAGGAGAGTGGGAAGGAAGGAAGATAAATGATAGATGATGGATAGAAGGAAAGGAAGGAAGAGAGAAGGAGAGGGAGGGAAAGAAGGAAGGAATAGAGATAGGTGGGTAGATAAATAAAAGATGGAAGGAAAGGAAGGAAGGAGAGAATGGGAAGAAGGAAGGAAGGAAGATAGATGGTAGGATAAACAGATAATGGATAGAAGGAAAGGAAGGAAGAGAAAAATAAAAGATAGATGGATGGATGGAAGGAAGGAGGAGAGAGAAGGGGAAGGAGGGAGGGGTCTAACTAAAGTCTCCTCTTCCCCCGCCAGGGAACCGCTGCGTGAAAGGGGAGGAGCTGAGCTTGAAAGGAGAGACGGTGAACGACTGCCACGCGGAGATCATCTCCCGAAGGGGGTTCATCAGGTGAAGAGAGGCAGGCGGTTGGGTCCCTCAGCCCCGTCCGCTGGCGGGAAGGGGAAATCGCCCCCCCGGTCCTTTTTATTGGGGGGAGACACACACGCAATCAATGAGTAGAGCTAGTCCCCGAATTAACGGCTACCGTTTAGCGACCCTTAGCGGCAATGCCTCGCTTTAACGACAGATTTTACGTGGTCGTAAGTCGGGGACTTCCCGCATTCACATCGTTGCCCTTCATCTTCTCCTCCTTGTTTCCAGGTTCCTGTACAATGAGCTGATGACCTTTGACCCCTTGGCGCCGGAAGAGAGCATCTTCAAGCTGTCGGAAGACGGCAGGCTGAAGATCAAAGATGACGTCAGCTTTCACCTGTACATCAGGTGAGTTGTAACGATGTCACCTGTACGCCAGGTGAGCTGTAACGGTGTCACCTGTACGCCAGGTGAGCTGGGATTCTTTCACCTGTACACCAGGTGAGCTGTAATGATGTCACCTTTTCACCTGTGCACCAGGTGAGTTGTAATTCACCTGCACACCAAATGAGTTGTAAGGATGTCGGCTTCCACCTGTACACCAGTGAGCTTTAATTCACCTGTACACCAGGTGAGCTTTAATTAATTCACCTGTACACCAAGTGAGTTGTAGGGATGTCAGCTTCCACCTGTACACCAGGTGAATGGTAATGGCGCAGCAGACTAAAGCACTAAGTAACTCCAGCTGCCTGCAATTACTGCGAGTTCGAATCTCACCAGGCTCAAGGTTGACTCAGCCTTCCATCCTTCCGAGGTAGGTAAAATGAGGACCTGGATTGTGGGGGCAATAAGCTGACTTTGTATAAAAAAAGAACACCGCTTAGGTGGGGCCCGAAAGCCCTACTAAGCAGGTATATAAGCAGGTGTATAAAAGAGCCTTGGTAGTACAGGGGGTTAAGGCACCCTGTTATTAAGCTGGTTATTAAGACCAGCTGCCTGCAATTACTGCAGGGTTCGAATCTCTCCAAGGCTCAAGGTTGACTCAGCCTTCCATCCTTTCTAAGGTAGGTGAAATGAGGACCCAGTTTGTGGGGGCAATAAGCTGACTTTGTATAAAATATACAAAAGTATGAAGGCTGTTGCTTAATGCATTGTAAGCCCCCCTGAGTCTCCGGAGAACGGCGGCATATAAATCAAATTAAAATATATATATATATATGCAAAAGTATGAAGGCTGTTGCTTAACGCATTGTAAGCCGCCCTGAGTCTTCGGAGAACGGCGGCATATAAATCAAATTAAAATATATATATATATATGCAAAAGTATGAAGGCTGTTGCTTAACGCATTGTAAGCCGCCCTGAGTCTCCGGAGAAAAGGCGGCATATAAATCAAATTAAAATATATATATATATATGCAAAAGTATGAAGGCTGTTGCTTAACGCACTGTAAGCCCCCCTGAGTCTTCGGAGAACGGCGGCATATAAATCAAATTAAAATATATATATATATATGCAAAAGTATGAAGGCTGTTGCTTAACGCCTGTAAGCCGCCCTGAGTCTCCGGAGAAAAGGCGGCATATAAATCGAACCAATAAAATAAATAATGTCCCCTTTCAGCTGTAGAAAGCAACATGTAGTTATGAACAAACAGTGATCATGCAGAGAGATCAGGTAGAGAGTTACAGCAAATAGGCAGCTAACATGGTGTAGTATCCCCACAAGCCATGATCCTGACTTCCCTTAAGTACATTGGCTACAGAGCTTAGCCAATCAGGATACAGGATGATGCAATACAGTCCTAAAGCAATATAATACCTTTCTGACTGCAGACATACATTGTTGGTTTATATATTGCCCGGCCAACTAGTTAAGACAAATAACCATTTACTAACAGGTTCCCTCAACCGTCGTATGTCGAGGACGTTGGGAACTAGGAGACATAAGGGAATGGGTGTGTGGAGCGGGGAGGGAGGTCTCTTCTAACTTGGTTAGCTGGAGTTGGTCTCCAACGGGGAACTTTAAACCGAGTTAGGATTCGGCCTCATTGCTTGCTCTGTGTGTGTGTGGGGGGGGGTTTTGTGTGTTTGTGTTCTCCAGCACGGCGCCTTGCGGGGACGGCGCCCTCTTCGACAAGTCCTGCAGTGACCAGGCCAACAACACAGCCGGGGAGGATCAACACCAGCCCCTCTTCGAAAACCCCAAACAGGGGAAGCTACGCACCAAGGTGGAAAACGGTAATTTGCCCCGACTCGTGGTCGAAATGGCTTTTTTTTTGAAAATCGCTCGGGGTGGCTGGAAGCTCAGACGTTTCTAGTCCTCGTGGCTTCCCAAAAAATGACAGGGCGCGATCGTCCTCAACTCGATTGGCGAACGGGGGACGGCGACTTTGAATAAAAGGGTCGAAGAGGATGAGCTGCCCAGAGAATTGAAGGATTGAGCGTTTTTTTGTTTTTATTATTATTGATTTGTATCCCAACTTTTATTATTTTTACAAATAATTCAAGACTCCTTCTTCCTACCTATTTCCCTACAACGACAACCCTGTGAGGTGGGGTGGGCTGAGAGAGAGAGAGACAGGCCCAAAGTCACCGATCTGGTTTTCATTGCTAAGGAGGGACTAGAACTCCCAGTCTCCTGGTGATTGGCCCAGAGTCACCCAGCTGGCTTTCATGCCTTAGGCAGGACTAGAACTCCCAGTCTCCTGGTGATTGGCCCAAAATCACCCAGCCGGCTTTCATGCCTTAGGCAGGACTAGAACTCCCCATCACCTGGGGGATTGGCCCAAACTCACCCAGCTGCCTTTCGTGTGCATCCAAGCCAGCTTTTCAAATGCGCCTCCTTGGGACTCATCCACAGGAGAGGGCACCATCCCCGTGGAATCGAGTGACATCGTGCCAACCTGGGACGGCATCCAGCACGGCGAACGCCTCCGCACCATGTCCTGCAGTGACAAAATCCTGCGCTGGAATGTGCTCGGCTTGCAAGGCGCCTTGTTGTCACACTTCATACATCCGGTCTACCTTCGCTCAGTCACGCTTGGTAAGCTGAGCCAGTCATGCCTAAGATGGGACTAGAACTCACCGTCACCTGGTGATTGGCCCAAAGTCATCCAGCCGGCTTTCATGCCTAAGGCGGGACTAGAACTCCCAGCCTCCTGGTGATTGGCCCAAACTCACCCAGCCAGCTTTCCTGCCTAAGGCGGGACTAGAACTCCCAGCCTCCTGGTGATTGGCCCAAAATCACCCAGCTGGCTTTCATGCCTAAGGCGGGACTAGAACTCCCAGCCTTCTGGTGATTGGCCCAAAGTTACCCAGCTGGCTTTCATGCCTAAGGCGGGACTAGAACTCCCAGCCTCCTGGTGATTGGCCCAAAATCACCCAGCTGGCTTTCATGCCTAAGGCGGGACTAGAACTCCCAGCCTCCTGGTGATTGGCCCAAAGTCACCCAGCTGGCTTTCATGCCTAAAGTGGGACTAGAACTCACCCCCATGGTCAAGTGATTGAAATTTGGGCTTTTGGCAACCGATGTATATTTTACCATGGTTGCCTGTCCCGGGTTCAAGACTTTAACCGCCACTATTTTCTTTCTCTTGTGGTCAAGTTTTTTTATTATTATTATTATTTGTTCGCTTTATACTTTTATTTACCATGTTTCTAAGCCCCTCGATGGTTGCTATATAAACTGTATATAAATTAGCAAATCCAGATGGATGATGAGCCAGGTTGTCTCCTGACAACCTTTAAAAAAAAATAAAAAAACCAACAACTCTGCCTTTTCTCGCTGTTGCAGGCTACTTGTACAGCCAAGGTCATTTGACCCGCGCCATTTGCTGCCGGATGTCCAGAGACGGCAACCCCTTGGGGACGAGGCTTCCCACGCCCTATTTGGTCAATCACCCCGAGGTATCCCTTACGTTCCCCTCTCTTTTTTTTTCCAAAAGCGCAGGTTAGTATACTTCTTCCAGCTGAGTGGACCTTGAGGCGGCTTCTCAAGGAGTGTCAGTAGCTACTTTCGGTTTCCCAAGCACACTGTTCATGGCAGTCTGCCACCGCATAGCAGCAAAGCATCAGCAAGCATAAAATAGCACTTGGAGCCCAGTCACTGAGTGAAAACGGGGCTTATTCCGGCTTTCTTGGCTTGCGAAGGAGGTCTGCGATGGTTGGAAAGTTAGATTTTCATCCCTGCCGTAACGGCGCATAGTTGCGGCACAAGACCGTCGCTAAATCAGGACGCTCCATAGATTAATTTTCATCCTGGCGGGTAGCAGCACTCTGCTTTTTAGCTCCTTGCTGGCCAAGTTTGCTCAACCAAAACTGAGCAAGCCGTATCCCCGCCGTGGAAACACTGTATCTGTGGGCACGCAAGCATAGCCCTAGTTCAGCTCCGGCATGCGCAGCTGATTTTTGGGCCTTCTGGGCCCACCGGAAGTCGGGAAACAGGCTGTTTCCAGCTTCTGGAGGACTTCCGGGGAGGTGGGGAAGACTGTTTTCACTCTCCTCAGGCTCCTAGAAAGGCTGTGGAGCCTGGGGAGGGCGAAAAAAACGGACCTTGCAATCCCACCAGAAGTCGGGAAACAGGCCATTTCCAGCCTCCAGAGGGCCTCTGGGTGGGTGGGGAAGGCTGTTTTAGCCCTCCCCAGGCTCCAAGAAAGGCTCTGGGCCATTGTGTGCCAAAAGCACAGGGAGCACGGGGAGTTGCATGTGTGGGGCGCATTGAATTATGGGTGTGGACACTCGCAAGCACAAACACCCCCCCCCCCTGTGATCCCCCTGCTTTTGGCACGCGACGGCAAAAAGGTTAGCCGTCACTGCACTAAACCGTTTGTGGTTACTAAGCACATTTGGGAGCACAGGATCATCGCTCGGGGTCTATACGGGTGGGATAAATATTTTTAGGTAATCGAGACACTCCCGGCTTGGAACGATGACTGTTCGCGACTTGGGGGGGTCGGCAAAAAAAAAATCCATCCTCTCTCTCTCTCTTCCCCACCCACCCACCCACTTTGGCCCTGCAGGTCGGCCGGGTCAGCGTCTACGACTCGGCGAGACAGACGGGGAAAACCAAGGAATCGAGCATCAATTGGTGCCTCCCGGACGGCACCAACGTCGAAGTCCTGGACGGCACGAAAGGCAAAGTGGACGGGTAAGAGACCGACGTGGGCCCGTTCGAGACGGAAATATTTTGGGGGGTTTTTTGGGGGAGGGGGGGCTGCAGAGATCCTGGAGCACTTCTTTAATCGGGTGGATTATTCTACAACGGATAAGCAGAAGAAGTTGTTTGCTTGCTTTCTCCTTCCTCTTCAAGGCCCAAGCTGGATATTTCGCGCGTCTCCAAGCAGAATCTCTTCCAGCTTTTCCAGCTGCTTTGCACCAAGATGGCTCGGGAAGATCTCAAGAAGTTCACCGTCTACTCGGAGGCCAAAGAGTCGGCCGCTGACTACCAGAGTGCCAAGCAGCAGTTCTTTTGGGGCCTGCAAGAAATGGGCTACGGGAGCTGGATCTGCAAACCCCAGGAGGAGAAGACCTTCGTCCTGCCGGAACCCGCTCCCACTCCGTTCCTGTGATATATATATATATATATATATATTTTCCCCCTTGTTTTTCAATTTTTTATTTTCTGCAGAAGCCGAGGGAGAAAAAAAAAAGGGAGGACTTAATTTTTTTAGATTTGGAGCTGGCCGTTTGGGGTCGTTTTTAACGGAACCAGGGATGTTTTTTCAGGTCGCGGTTTCAGATTCCCGGGAAGAGCCGGACGTCCTAACCGATTTCGAGCGGCAAGGTGTTTTAATTCGGTTGGGCCAAGGGTCTTTCCTTTCCCTCCCCCCCCCCCGGCCTCCTCTTCCTCCTCCTCTCTTTTAAATCCCCCCTTCCCCTTTTTTCAGCATGGATTTGCAGAGACGTGATCCGAAACGTTGGGCTCGAGGGAACAAGAAATCCACCAGCATTCCTCTTTTCCTCCTTCCTTCCCTTTTTTTTCCTTCCTTCGTTCCTTTTTTTTCCTCCTTCCTTTCTTCTCCGTCTCCCTTCCTTTCTTCCTTATCTCTGTCTTCGCCTTTCATCCATCCATCTCTTTCTCTGCCTTCCTTCCTTTTTCTTTCTTTGTCTTCCTTCCTTTACTTCCCTTCCTTATCTTTCTTCCTTCCTTCCTTTGTCTGTCTTCCTTCCTTCCTTCCCTCCCTCCTTCCTCCCTTCCCTATCTAGTTCTTCCTTCCTTCCTCTTTGTCTTCCTTCCTTCCTTCCCTTCCTTATCTCTTTCTCTGTCTTCTTTCCTTCCTTCCTTTTTCTTTGTCTGCCTTCCTTTCTTTCTTCCTTCCTTCCTTCTCTCTTTCTCTGCCTTCCTTTCCCACTTTTTTTTGGGGGGGGGGGAGGCGGCGACCAAAAAAATAAATAAAACGCCCCCAAATCATTATTGGAACTTTTTCTTTTCAAACTGTGAAGTTAGCACGCTGGTAGCTCCAGTCTGCGTTGAGACTTTTTCTCGTTTCGCTCTTTTCCGTCCCGAGGGTTTCCGACGAACCTGTTGCAAGTTTCTTCACCTTGGGAATCGACTCTCTGAGGGACATTTCCACTTAACCCTCCGAGTCCTTTTGGACCGAGGATTCGAACCTGTGGCCCGAGGGACGGTGTCAAGATCGGCCTGTCCCGGCGGATTTAACTTGGGTGTTGTGCGGTTGTGACTTTCCCCGTAGTTTCTCCTTTTCCCTAGCCAGCAAATTCGGTAGTGTTTGGGGTTTTTTTTTCCCCCCCGTGTCGTCCATCCGAATCTAAATTTTACAGAAATTCGGGGAAGATTTCCGATCGGAGAGGCTGAAAACTCCAAACTTGTAATCTTCCTCGTAGATATTAACCCGGAGATTAGTGGGTCTCCAGAGCAGGCAAAACCCATCATCCCCTGCTAAAAAAAAAAATCCTTTTTTTAATTATCTTCCCCCTTGTCCCGTCCCGTGGATATTGTCTTTGTGCACAAAGATTGGACAAAATTTAAGAGATTTCCTTCTCTAAAGTCTTGGAACAGAAGTCTTGGCTTCAGGTGGGGGCTCTTGAAATGAGGGTCTGGGGTCTCTGATGGGGCCAAATTGCATTCTCTCCTGCCCCCCCCCCCATCAAAATGGGTCTCTCAAAATCCCCAGGATAATTTTACATGTCCGTTTTAAATGTCTTTATGCAAGATTTCACCTTCTGCTTGGGTGCAGCTACCCAAATGACTCCTTTTAAGCTGTTGTTTCCGTAAACCTGGGGTCTCCCGACGTGGCCCCTTTAAGACTGGGGGGGGGGGCTTCAATTCCCAGTTGAATTCTGGGAGTTGAAGTCTCCCCAGTCGTCTTAAAGGGGCCACGTTGGGAGACACCCCCCGTCCTTAAACTAAGAGAAAAAAGTGGGCCTCTGGTGAGATATTTTCATAATCCCCCCCCCTTTTTTTTTTTTAACCACGATTGGTGTTCCCGTCACCTCTAGCGCTTGGCCAGCATTGCCGAAAATCTATTTTTCTTTTTTAAAAAAATGAAAAACTGGAGCCTTCTCTTCCCAACGTTTCCCTTACCCCCATGGTTCGTGGGTCCCCCTCTTCTGTTGCAATAGCCCCCAGCAAGGAAACCTACTTTAGATTTCACCCTCCTTTTGTAATGATGGTTTATTCCTCCCTCTGCCCCCCCTCTTTTTTTTTTTTAAATTGAACGAGTCCGTGTTACGTTCCTTTTCCTTTGGATGGACTGAAGTCTTTGCATTCTGCCTGAAATAAAAAAAGAATTTTTTTTTTTCCTGTAGCGGCTGTTTTCCCGTGTATGGGTGGGTGGGATTTGCTTCCCCCCCCCCCCCCCGGAAGAATGCAAGGAGGCTTAATCGTGGCTTATCGTTGAGAAAAGATCTCTGGTTGGTAGCTGCAAAAGACGATTTCTACCAAATTTAGGCCAATTTTGTCCATGTTACGGCCATTTTCGTTTTGCAGGGAGTCCTCGACTTAATAACCACTCATTTAATGACCGGAGTTACATGGGCGCTGAGGAAAAGTGACTTAGGTTTGTCTTTCACACTTAACGACCGTGGTCGTAAGCATCCCCACGATCGCGTGATCCAAATTCAGGACATTTGGCAACTGACTTGGGTTTATGACGCTCCCAGGGTCATGTGATCCCCTTTAGCGACCGTCTGATCAGCAAGGGGGAGGCCAGATTCACTTAACAACCGTGGGACGAACTTAACAACGGCAGTGAATTGAGCATAAACTTTGGTCTTAAGAGCAGTTTCTTAATGTACTTTTTTAAGATGCCCGGACTTCAACTCCCAGAATTCCCCAGCCAGCCATTGGCATTCTGGGAGTTGAAGTCCCACATATCTTATTAAAGCCTGTGGGATTTTTGGAAATTGGGAGGCCACGTGTCTTAAATTGATATGGGAAAGCCTGGGGAAAAAACTGAAAAAATTGGAGGGGAAAACTTAAGTTTTTATGGGGAAAAAACCTGTTTCTTTTTCCCCAGGCCTTCCCATCTCTAGTCTTAAACCATGCTGGCTGGGGATTCTGGGAGTTGAAGTCCAAACAATTTCAAAAGATCCCCAAGTTGAGAAACTCTGGCTTATCCTGAGCGTCGCAACCCTGCTCTTTGTACTTTTTAACGGGGCCGAAATTGAATGGAGCTGAGTGTTTTACTGGCCAGATGCCTTTCCTGTTGCCAGGGCGGAGTTTTGTTCAGCAGATAATATTCTCATTGTGCCCAGAGAAATATCTGCCTCTACCTAGGATCGAACTCACAGCCTCCTGATTGTGAGGAGAGAACTCCGCTCCACGGCACCACTCAATTTCCCCCTCCCCATGTGACCCCCCCAAATACACCCCCCCCCCATAGCAGCCTCATCAAAAGACAGATCTCCGGTCATAGGTGATCTATTTTTATTGTTATTTCAACACTAGCATTGGTCGGAGAGGGTACGAGAACGGGAAGACAGGAAGTCAAAAACTTTCATCTCTGCCCAAACCCATTTTTTTTCTCTCTCTCCTGTCTCGGACATCCGTCCTCCGCCGGCAGGTGAGGAAATCTCACCTGCCCAGAAGGACAAAAAAGGCAAAACACAGGCAGTCCTCAACTTAACTACCGTTTCTTTCGTGACCCGTTCAAAAAGCTGCGACACCGCTGGAAAAGAAGGATTGTGAATGACCTATCCTCGCACTTAATGACTGTCGCAGCCTCCTCGCGGCCACCTGATCGGGCCGCTTAGCAACGGGCATGTATTTACGACGGTCGCCGTATTCCCGGAGTCGCACAATCTCCCATTTGCGACGTCCTGACAAGCGAAGTCAAAAGGGAAAGCCGGTGGTGATTCACTTAACAACCGCAGCAAGAAATGATTCCGGTTGTAGTCGTAAGTTTGAGGACTACCTGTAGATCGTTCGGCAGCAGAACTTTCCATGTAGTTGGAAACTCATCCCCCACTTTTCTCTCCCCCCCGCATCTAAGTTTTGCAGACTTAGTGGTCAATGCCCTTCATGGTTTGTCTGCCTTCAACAAACAAGGATTGTCCAAGCTAACCAAGCCTGTTGACCATTATTTGGCCACTGCAAAGCCCGTTCTTCTCCAGCTTCATGGAGAGATCCAGGAAAGATGGATATAAACATAAATATTTATCTATCTATCTATATATTTTTCCTGAGTTGGGAGCTAATATCCCATAACTGGTCTAAGCCATGGTTTGTTTAGGAGAGGAGAACTAATCTAAAACGCCTGACGGCAGTGAAACTCCAGAAGGTATCTCCACCATCCTTGGTCCATCACCACCTTCTGCTCCGAAAGGGGAGGCCTTCCCCTCCTTGGTGGGGCCAGCTTGTTCCTGAAAAGATTTGGGGAAACCCGGCCATCCTCCCAAGAGCCACCTCTTGGTAGGACCTCATGGCCGCAAGGAACATGGTTTGACCATCTTGGGTAGGAGAACTTCCTTTCTTAGCGGTTCCTTGCTACTCAAGATGGTCCCGATAGGGTAGATGAACACCTGCTTCATGTCAAGAAAGGCTACCAACCTGGTTGACCAGGTCATCCCATTGGTCCCCAGGTTTTCCAAAGCAACGAACCTCTTCCAGAACTTGTTGAGGTTCTCCTCAAGTCATCTTGTCTTCCTGGCCTTCAACCAAAGGCCCAAGAGATGGACGGGTGAAAGGTCTTTGGTCACCTCTTGGTAGATGGTTGTCCTTAGGAAGAGCCACGGTGGGTGTCCCTTTCTCTGTCCCTCCTGAGGGCAGGAGAAGTCCACCCTTGGCCACCATCCGAGGTGGGGCTAGTTATGGTTGATTTGCAAGAGGGAATTGGTGGCATAGTTCTGGAAGAGGGGCTGAAGGAACATGCCAATAGTGCCGAAGACGCAGACAAAAATGAAGATCCACAGGAAAAGGCGGTCGATCACCATCGCGACGTATTTCCAGTCCTCGCTGACCTAGAAAGGGGACAACGAACGGGGATTAGCGCCCTCTATTGGATCTGGCTTGGAAGCTGCCTCCTACCGCCCTCTAGTGGTGGCGACGGTTATCGTCTTGGCTTATTTGGGCCAAAAGTAAGACTAAAACTAATTGCGATTTGTTTTTTCCCCCCGCCCAACAAACATTTATGCTTAGGATGCTATTTTTCATGAATATATATATTTTTTAAAAAAAGAAAAAATGATTTAATGGTGACTGGATAAATTCCTGCAGTTTTCTTGGCAATATTTTCCGAAATATTTGGCTACTGCTTTTATGCCTAGGACAGGAAGAGAGAAATATCCAAAGTCACTCAGTTGGGATTCACGCCTAAAGCAGAACTATAACTCTACCATCGCCCGGTTTCGAAGCCAGCACCTTCACCATGAGACAAACTGGTTCCATAGCTTTATGCCACTTACTGGAAACTTTGAATCTTCTACAATACTGTTTTTCAACCATTGCAAATTTAAGAGCTGTGGATTTCAGTTCCCAGAATTCCCCAGCCAGCACGCTTTATATCTATGGACTTCAACTCCCAGAATTCCCCAGCCAGCATGCTTTATATTTGGACTTCAACTCCCAGAATTCCCTAGCCAGCATGCTTTATAACCTGTGGACTTCAACTCCCAGAATTCCCCAGCCAGCATGCTTTATAATATTTTGACTTCAACTCCCAGAGTTCCATGCATGAATTGCGTGTGGCTGAAGAACTCTGGGAGTTGAAGTCCACCACTCTTAGTAGAGAAACATAGTTCTAGAAGGCTCGGGACAGCCTCCGATGTAACCCCCAAATGTTTCTCGGAGAAGATGTCCTCATTTTCTGACCTATCCCTCGGCCGACTCACGCTCTGGTCGTTGTCTTCGCTCTTCATGTGGTCCGCGATGAAGCGTACCCCGTCGATCGCCTCCTCTAACCCGCAGCAGCAGGCTTCCTGCTCGGGCACCGCTTGGCCCATCCTCTCCCGAAAACCGTTGACCCCATCTGAGCTTTCGGTGAAGGTCCGTCCGCTGCTGCTCCCTGTCCCGAATTTCTTGACGGTGGACGGGTTGGCGTAGCAGGTGCAGGAGTGGGTCCCTCCTTTCAGGAAGAAGCTACCCAACGCCCGTTCCTGGCTCTGCCGTTTCTGACGCAGCTGCTGGCGGGCGCAGCTCTGGCGGGGCTGTTTGAGGAAGAGCAAGGTGGGCAGCTTCTCCAGGAAGACCACCTTGACCCAAGGAGGCATGGTGTGGGTGGTGGGAGAACGGTGGTGGACGTTGAGAACGCAGACGCTGGTGACGATGGAGAAGGTAACCAAGACCATGGTGAACATGAGGTACTTCCCGACCAAGGGCACATCCAACGAGGTCGGGGGCACAATTTTGGAGATGAGGAGCAGGAAGACGGTGAGGGCCAGAAGAACCGAGATGCAGAGGGTCATCTTCTCGCCGCAGTCGGAGGGCAAGTAGAAGACCAAGATGGCCAGGGAGGTGATCAAAATGCAAGGAATGATGAGGTTGATGGTGTAGAACAGCGGCTTCCGGCGGATGATGAAGTCGTAGGTGATGTCCACGTAGGTCGAGTCGTTGGGGTTCTCGTTGCGGCGTCCCGGCAGAGCGATGATGTCCCACTCGCCGCTGGGGGTGAAGTCATCCAAGCTGGCCACTTCGCTCTTCAGCACCAGGTCGATCTCGGTCCGGTCGTACGTCCACGAGCGGAACTTCATGGTGCAGTTTTGCTGGTCGAAGGGGAAGTGTTTGACCTCGATCTTACAAGCGCTCTTGTAGATGGCCGGCGGGAGCCAGAAGATGCTTCCGTCGTAAGAGACCACCGCGTTGGAGTAGAAGGACACCTCGTACATTCCATCCGCGCTGGAGACGGGAGAGACCAGAAGAAGTCTAATTGGGATCAAAGCTGATTTTTTTCCACACGCGGTCCTTGACTTACAACCATCGTGGAGCCCAAAATTTCCGTTGCTAAGTGAGACATTTGTTAATTTGAACATCGCCCCATTTTAACCGCCGTTCCTGACGCGGTTATTAAGTGAATCTGGGTTCCCCATGACCTTTGCCAGAATTGGAATTGACCATAGACTGAGGGAAGAATTGTCCCAATCTCTGACAAATCAGTTGTTTTTTCTTTAATTAGCACTATGAAATTGACTAGAAGGCATTCAGAAATTGACTCAGTTGGGCTGTGGAATTGACCAGAGACTGAAGGAAGAATTGCCCCAATCTCTGATAATCAGATTTTTTTTTCTTTAATTAGCACTATGAAATTGACTAGAAGAGATTTTGAAATTGATTCATTTGGCCGTGGAATTGAAAATCCATTTTTTTCCCCTT